ACTTTTCTGGAAAACTTTGATTCTTGATTTTTAGATGCTTAGCTCAGTACAAAGGGCCCGAGCTTGGCACTACGAGCTTCAAAGTTTTGAGTACAAGTTTTACGGGGCCTTACAGAAACCAGTTGACTTCCTTCATGGAGAACCAGTTGTGAAGTGGAAGAAACAAGAAGTGAAGCAATCCATCGTACAACAAGGGGCTTCAACTTGCAGTTCTTGGGAAATTTTCATATGGGAAGCCTGTTATTGGTGAATTACGTAAAGTGATTCCAATTCAATGTGAGATTAAGGGTTATTGTTCAATTGACTTGATTGAAGACAATCATGTGTTAATTAGGCTGTCTTTATTGGAGGATTATGTTCATCTTCTCTCAAAGCTAGCTTTTTATTTAAAGGCTCAATCAGACATGTGGCAGATGTGTTGTACAAAATGGAATCCATGGTGGACACTTGATGAAGAGACTCCAATTGCCATAGCATTGATTAGTTTTCCAGGACTTCCTCCAAATTTCTTTGGTAAGGAATGTGTATTTTCATTAGCTCGTGCATTTGGTAATCCATTACATGTAGACCTAGCAACTCAAAATGGGACTAGACCTAGTTGTGCTAAGGTAAAGGTGGAAGTGAATTTGCTAGGTAATTTCCCTAAACGTATTAAGATTGTTGAAGAAGCTGATGAATCTGGGCCAGAAGAGTTTAAATGGATTAGGATTAAGTATGATTATATGCCTAAATATTGCAAGCCTTGCAAGAAACAAGGGCATAGTGGGGCAGAATGTTGGGTAATTCATCCCGAGTTACACAAGAGATTTGATGAAGATGTTGAGGATCAAGGCAAGGAGAAGACGCTTGTGGTGAGTACTGAAGCAATTGGTACAACTGCAAATTCAACAAAGGTTCTATCAAGTGAAAAGGTGGTTGATAAGCCTGCTACTAATCATGCGAAGCAGGAATGGATACAAGCAAGGAAGAACAAATACCAACGGGATAATAGGGGTCACATTGTTGATAATAAACAAAGTAAGGAAGCTGACAAGGGTAAAGGGAAGGCCAAACTTGAGGAGGTAGCAACCAAGAACAAGTTTAATGCATTAGAGTTTGAGGAAGTTCATCAACCTATTCTAAAAATTACCAAAGGCAAAGGTGAGGATCATAGCAATGGTAAGAAGAAGGAACATGGGGAAAATCAATCAAAGAAGGGCTATGAGAAGGAAAAAGAAGGCATTACTGGAGCTTCAAGCCCTAATCCTAATAATACAAAACCAGCGGGAGAAAGTAATCAACAAGAACTTAAGCGTGTGAAGAAGGAAGCAGTGAAGAAAGTGTTGGAAGATCAGCATAATGGGAACTTAGCTAAGGCTAATCCTATTGTTCCTAGTGATCAAAGTACTGACGAAAAGGCTAATAAGGAATCCACAATCGATTGGGTTCATAGAAGGTTTGGAACTAGCAAAGAGGAGCTAAGGCAACTCAATATGACTACAAACCAATCATGTCAAGATATGTCGTCTCAAACATTTGCAAATTCTGGGTAGCTTGAGAACCTTGGTGAGATAAACTCAACAAAGGCTGTAGGGAGTGATGCTTGAGGTAGATGATGATCAAATAGGCACGACCAAGACAATAGGAGACAAAGTGAGGGACAACAGGCCACCTGGTGATAGGCTGGCGACGCCAGGCCTAAAGCCAGGCTCCCCAGGCCTTAGTCTGGCGACGCCAGGCCTAAAGCCAGGTACCCCAGGCGTTAGGCTGGCGACGCCAGGCCTGGTGCCAGGGTCACCTGATGAAGCAACGATAGTTAATCCTGTCACTAGTGCAACTGACAAGATTTTGTCATATGTAGATGGTGTTCCGGTGTATGCATTGGAGAACAAACTTGATGATAATGTGAAGGTTAGTGATGATACAGGAGGATCGGAGAATAACAGTGAAAAGAATGATGAGCACGCAATTGTTCCAAGAGCATCTGGGGAAATAGAGGATGTGCCTATGGAATATGGCACTGATCAAATTATGCAGCTGCAGCTTAATGTTCCACTGAAGACTCCACTGTAGCATCTACATGATTTAGTTACACACAATGTGGCACCAATTGATGAAGACTTATTGAGACAAAATCCTATGGAGGATGAGGGAGATGATGAATCAACAGAAGAAAATTTCAAATATGTGGCTAGGGATGGGGATCTATCACTTACAACTAGTGCTAAAGGAGGCAAGAAAACAAAGAAGAATCAGAATAAAGAGTCAGAACAACCTTTAAGAATTATGCCTAGGAGGGCAGCTTCTCTATCTAAAAATGATGATCAAGACATTAATATGGAACATAAGGTCTGTGAATACACAACATGCCTTTCCTAGGGTGATCAACATGAATAGGGAGCATAACTTTTGTGTAGTTTCATTGATGGAACCTTTTCAAAAGAAGAGATTCATTGATTGATATAGAAGAAGGTTGAATATGGAGACGACTTATGCAAATATTAATGGGCAAATATGGTTGTTCTTTGATGTAGTGGTGGAATGGGAATTAGTGGAGGATACTGAGCAACAAGTGACTGTGAGAGTGCTTCACCATGAGCTAGGGCAGCACATGATGATGACATTTGTTTATGCAAAATGCTCAGCAATTGAGAGGTTGGAATTGTGGGATCACTTGTATTACTTAGCAAGTGATATGAAATAGTCATGGTTAGTAGGAGGGGATTTCAATGTGATATTACATGAAGATGAGAAAATAGGAGGACTACCGGTACACCCGCCTGAATATGAGGATTTTGCATTTTGTGTAAATTCTTGTGGTTTGTTCGAGCAAGGATACAAAGAAAGTCCATTTACATGGTGGAATGGAAGATCCAATGCTGCGTGTATATTCAAATGATTGATAGGATGTTTGTGAATTTGCCATTTCAGAACATGTTGTCATCTATTGAAGTTGAACATCTAATCAGAATTGGATCAGATCATGCACCATTGTTAATGACATGTGGGGAGCAGACCACCAATTTTGTCAAGCCTTTGAGGTTCTTGAACTTTTGGACTAAACATACTACATTTATGGATGTGGTGAGGCAAAATTGGGAAGCTGATTTCATAGGGGATCCGTTTTTGATGTTCAAGCAGAAACTCAAGAGGGTGAAGGCAGTACTGTCAAAATGGAGTTGGGAAACATTTGGTGATATCTTCAAGCAATTGGCAATTTTGGAGGACATTGTTACGGTAAAAGAGATGTTGTTTGAAGAAGAGCCTTCAATTGAAAACAGGATTGTGCTTCAAAAGGCACAATTTGAATTAAAGAAATACTTGAGTATTGAGGAAAAGTATTGGAAGCAAAAAGCTGGGATGACTGGGTTTGCTGAAGGAGATCGGAATACAAGTTTCTTTCACAATCATGTCAATGGCAAAAGAAAGAAATTACAACTGAAGAGGATCAAAAGTGGAAGTGTGTATGGATTGAAGACCAGGAGCGATTGGCTACAGCTGCAGTGGACTTTTATCAAGAACAGTTCACAAATGAAGGTGATGCATCTGACTTTTCCTTGCTCAATAATGTACCTTCGATGGTCACTATGGAACAAAATTTGGAACTTAGTAGATTGCCAACAATTGAAGAGGTAAGGACAACAGTTGTTGAGCTTAGTGGGGAGAGTGCTAGTGGTCCAGATGGATTCACTGGCCTATTTTATCAAACATGCTGGGATGTTATTGGTGCTGATATACACAACATGGTGCTACACTTCTATGGAGGCTGCACTGCCTAAATCCATCACTCATACCAATTTAGTGTTGTTGCCTAAGAAACCTAGAGTTGAGACCTTTTCTGACTTAAGATCTATTAGCTTGAGCAACTTCATTAACAAGGTCTTGTCTAGAGTGTTACATGATAGATTGGAAATTTTTTTGCCTTCTCTAATATTTCCTAATCAATCCGGATTTGTGAAGGGTATGAGTATATCTGAGAACATCTTATTGACTCAAGAAATTGTCACTGACATAAGGTTAAGGGGAAAGCCAGCTAATATGGTGATAAAGCTTGATATGGCTAAGGCTTATGATAGGGTTTCATGGAAGTACTTATTGCATGTACTAAGGAAGATAGGATTTTCTGAGCACTTCATCAACATGGTGTGGAACTTGATGTCAAATAACTGGTATTCAGTATTGGTGAATGGGCAGTCATCAGGGTTCTTTAAGTCTACAAGGGGTGTGAAGCAAGGGGATCCTCTATCTCCAGCATTGTTCATTCTGTCAGCTGAGGTACTTTCCAGATCTTTGAATAAGCTATTTGAAGACAGGTCATTTGTGGGATTTGGAATGCCTAAGTGGTCTGATCCTTTAAACTACTTGGCATATGCTGATGATACTATAATCTTTGCTTCTGCTCATCCTCCATCCTTGAGCAAGATTATGGCAGTGTTAGGGAACTATGAGAAGATATCAGGCTAGATGATCAACAAAGATAAGAGTTCATACTACATGTAATCCAGGATTTCTAATGGATTGTGTCAGGCGGTTGGAGCTATTACATGATTTGCAAAAGGTAAATTCCCCTTCACATATCTAAGGTATCCTGTTTCTACACTAGAAGGAGGAAGGAATATTATGAAGATCTTATCAAGAAAGTAAAGGCTAAATTGCATTCATGGAAAGGAAAGCTGCTGTCATTTGGAGGAAAGGCAACACTCATTACTAGTGTGTTGCAAAGTATGCCAGTCCACATGTTATCAGTCCTGCATCCTCCAAAAAATGTCCTGGAGCATCTTCATAAGATTTTTGATAGATTCTTTTGGAGCACAAAGGAAGAAGGGAGAAGCAGACATTGGGCCTCATTGCAAATCTTTGCCTTCCTAAAGAGGAAGGAGGCCTAGGTTTTAGGTCCTTACATGATGTGTCGAGGGAATTGTTTGCTAAACTATGGTGGAGGTTTAGGATGAAATAAGTATTTCAAGAAGGAGATACCAACGGTGGTGCAGTTTAGAAGGGGGTCTAATGTTTGGAGAAAAATGCTAAATGCTAGGGAAGAAGTAGAACATGAGATCCTATGGGAATGGAAGAGTGGAACAACTAATATTTGGCATGAAAATAGGACTGGATTGGGTGCACTTTATCATGTATTACCTGAGGACTTTCCAATCAATGAAGATCTTCAGGACGTGGCAGAATTACGGCAAGGTGAAACATGGGATGATCAGCTGCTAGATAAAACCTTCAATGAGGAAATTGCAAAACATATAAGGCTAAATGTACACTATGAAGGCAGTGAGGGATACTGGGATAGGCCATACTGGATGCCAACTCCTTCAGGCAAGTTCAGTGTTAGCAGTGCTTGGCAAATATTAAGGCATAAAGCTGATCCTAATCAGGAATTCAAGTTAATGTGGATTAAAGGCTTACCATTTAAGATATCCTTCTTTTTGTGGAGATTGTGGAGGAAGAAAATAGCCACTGATGACATATGGAGGAGGCAAGGGCAAATGGTGATGTCTAGGTGTTGGTGTTGTCAGCAGCCCCAAGAGGAATCTATTGAGCATATATTTATCACAAGTCCTACTGCCTCTAAAGTATGGAACTTGTTCATGGGGGCTGCTGGAATTACTGTGACACTGATTCAATTGAAGTAGGTTATAAGGCATTGGTGGTATGCTCAATGTCGTCCAAAGCTAAAGCCATTATTTCAAGCAGTACCGGCTATCATCACTTGGGAACTTTGGAAGAGAAGAAATATAGGTAAACATGGGGGTTCAGTGTCGACAAATAGGGTGATTCATGAGATCAATAGTACATTGCATCAACTGGCAAGGGTGAGGCATGCTTGGATGCCTAATATTCCATTGTTATGGCCAGACATAATTCAATATTTTGAAGGATATAAACCTATATTGATCACTACAAGAGTAACATGGCAGCATCCTTTTCATGGTTGGTACAAATGCAATACTGATGGTGCCTCAAAAGGAAATACTGGCCCTAGCTCATTAGGCTTTTGTGTGAGGAATGATGAAGGTGATGTGGTGTATGCAAGGGCAGTAGACCTGGGAGTGACAACTAATGTGGTGGCTGAAGCTAAGGCTATTCTTCAAGGATTGGAATACTGTGTGGAGCATGATCTTCACCCTCTCATATTGGAGACTGATTCATTAGTGATGAAGAAAGTGATAGAAGGGGAATGGGATCCTCCTTGGGTAATTGCAAATGATGTGAAGAAAATTAGAGAGATGAAGGGCAACTTCAATGTGATCTTTCAACATGTGTTCAGAGAAGGCAACTCAGTGGCGGATTTTATAGCTAACATTGTTTTCTCTTTTGCAGGTACATCTGAGTTTCACTTATTCTCTAAACTGCCTAGTGCAGGGAGGAGGTTGATTAATTTAGACAAGTCTCAAACTCCTAACCTTAGGGATAGAATAGCAAAAAGAAGAGCCCCAGACTGATGGCTTCACAGGATTGGAAGCTGCACATACCAGCTTGTTTCTTTTATGTCTCGTTCTGTATGCTATTAAGGTACTTTTCAGTGGTATTAGCATGGTCACATGCTTATTCTGGGGGTGCTTTGATAGTGTACAGGACCAATGGGATAAACAGGTATTGGATAGTGCAATTTATTCTACTTCTAATATGTTCAAATGTTAAGGAAAAGGTTGAATCTGTTATGTGGAACTTCTGGAGATTGTTGAATCATTTCTTAGTGGTATTAGCATGTCTTCATGCTCAATCTGAGGATGGTTTAGAAATGTTTAGAATGATTTCTACATTAAAGGTTTGGGAAGAGAAGGATTTGAGCTTACAAGAACATAAAATCACCCAGCTCCACAGGCCTGGCAGCGCCAGGCTAAAGCCTGATGATACCCTGGCGTTACCCTGGTGTCGCCAGCTTAATGCAAGCCCTGGCCTGGCTTTTGCCTTACAAAGCCTGCTTAAAGCCAGCCCCAGCCTGGCTTTTGCCTTGTAAAGCCTGCTTAAAGCCAGCCCCAGCCTGGCTTTTGCCTTGAAAAGCCTGCTTAAAGCCAGCCCCAGCTTGGCTTTTGCCTTGAAAACCCTGCCTAAAGCCAGCCTCAAGACAGGTGTAGCCATGCTTTTTACATGATAATATTGAGGATCGACCACATGATTTATACTTGGATACAGTCAGTACACTGCATATGGAGATCATATTGTAGCAACACTAATGATTGGAAGACTATGCTGGCTTCAATTCTGTGGTGGAGATGTTTGGAATTCATTCTAGCCTATGGATTGGATACACTGGCGCCTGGTGAGAGCTTGATAGGTGCTGCTTGGTATTTGCTACTGGCAATTGGATTCACATACACTGAAAGGAGAAGGAAGCATTCAGCGGACAATGTTGTAATAGCTAGTTCATTAGACATTAGCTTTTCTATCTTTTTAGTAGCTAGTAGCTTCGTGCAACTTCTATTTTGGTTTGGACATCTTGTAAGCTTTGGACCCATTTTTGGGATTTTATTTATATATTAGCCACTAGGCAGCCTTCCTAGTAGTATATTTGCTAAAAAAAATTGAGATAAAGGAGGAGCAGACATCGTCTCACCATGCAGGACTAATTAAAGCCCTGGAACTAAGGTTGGTAAATTTATAATATGAGATTTGTCCGCCAGGAACTTCTCTCCCAATAACAACAAAAAGAGACGGTTTCCATCAGGAAACAAATTCAACTTTTTATAAATGACCGCTTTGAGTCACAAAAACCCCCCACTTTTCCCTTCAAAACCTACCTTCTATCTCATATCGCCACATGCATATTCCCCACCTAAATTAGACTACACCTTTTCTACTTTTCCTACTACCTCACAGAATCCTATCTCTTTCACCCAACCCTTGAAAAAAGAACCTGAATTTGATATTGCAAAAATGGTTTGGGAAAAAAAGATGCTCTTGCAGCCTAGAAACAACCCAAGAAAAAACGAGATCATGGAGAAAGTTCAAAAGGGTCCAACCCCGAAAATCTGATGATAAAGGCTCCAGACCTCTATGTCTCCAAGCTAAGAAACATGCCAGAAGGAGATACCACATGGTCGGAATCTCTAAATTTATCAGACGATGAAACAATGGAAGATATCTCTCAATCAAGCAATGAATCCACAACAAACTCTTCCGAAGAAGACGATCCCCCAATATTTGTGAACCAGCTAAGAGACCCAGAAATATCTGAGGTAGACAAGGATCAAGAAGGCATGAGAGATGAACCAATACTAGAAAGAAAACATGAGCCCATGGCATCAATACCAGTTGGATCTGGCCTCCACACTTTCACCTTATATGACGTCAAGGTTTCAAAATGGCCTCAAAGGATCCAAGACTTCTATACTTGGATGGTGACCTAAAATTTGGCGGAACTAGAAAAGTATATCATCCTTTTAGAACTCACTTCACGGTTCTCAGGAATCCTCAGAGATTGGTGGAACTCACTTGGGATTCAAGACAAAAATACTTTTCTTACTTCCAAGGATTTTGCTTTCAACATCAGAATCCTACATGAAGTTTTCTGTGGAGATACTGGCCAAAGACAAGAGAAAATGTGAAGAAAATTCTTTGAGATGAAGTGTGTGTTATTCGACAGAAAAGACATTGACAAGCATTTTCAAAAAATGGCAAAGATATACTTTGAGATCGGCGGAGACATCAACCTGAAGCAAGACTTTGTCTCTTCCCTTCCGAAGTTGTTGGCAAGGCGAACCATGACTATCATTGAAGAAAAGTTTCAGTCAATAACAATACCACAAGTCGACTACATCAGGCAAGCTATTTTCGTCGCATTAGAGGACATTTGTACGAAGCGCTCTGCCCTAAAACAAATTATCCAGCGTAATCCAGCAATTGTCAAAGCATGCCGCAGATCCGATCTGATCACTGGATCAGGATATTCCTACCAAACATCTAGGCAACGAAAAGGATTCAGGAGGTTCAGATGGCCAAGAATTCCAGACGGGAAATCTAGGTTCAGGAGATGCACAAAATATTTCAGACGAAGGAAGCCAGGAAATTTTCACAAAAAGAATAGATGCTTTATTTGCTATAAGACTGGACATTTCGTAAGAAATTTTGCCCAATCGAGGAGATCAGTCAAACTCCTTGAAGAGATTGAAGATTACACTGCATACATCTTGGAAAAGAGGAGGAACCTCGAGTCCATATTCTCTATGGATGATGAACCCCTTGAAGAAACTTTATTTTCTTTTGATATATACGAAGATCATAGTGATGACCACTACCAAATTTTATAACAGGTGGCCAAAGCCCGAGAGGAGATCAACGCTCTCGTAGTCATCTCTCAAGTGGAACTCAAGGTTTATTCATCCAAATTGGATAAACCAACTCGAGTTATTGGTTTAATTGACACTAGAGCTTCTTGTTCACTCATGAATCCTGCTGTTCTCCCTGAAGATCAATACTTTAAGGATTTCAACACTGCATCAAACGGGATACTAACTAGCACCGTCATCACAAAGCACCCGGTCACAATTGAGTTCTTTCCAGGATTGAAGTACAGAACCAAGCTGATAGGGTCTGATGTACCAGGAAAAGACCTTATTGTTTGATTCGACATTTTCAGACAACTAAAAGATCAACTCCAGATCAGGGCTAACGGGATAACCTTTAAGAAGCAATTTAAACCTTATTATGAAATTCCAAGGCTATCCAAATCACCAACGATGAACAAATCAAGGAGATTGAACAAAATCTCATTGAGCATTCATGTGCTGAATCCCACAAGGATTTTATGAAGAAAGGAAAAAGCCCATTATGGATGAACGAAGAGTTTTTTTTATCAAGCTCCCTTTCAAGAAGAATGAAAACATCAATCCAACAAAAGCCAGTCATTCAGGCATGAATCCGGATCATCTTCAGCTTGCAAAGAAAGAATCCGAAGAACTCTTTTAATTTGATCTCATAGATCCATCAGATTCACAATGGGATGCGAAGCATTTTATGTCAACAAAAGAGCTGAGTAGACAAGAGGAAAACAGGTAAGTTATTAACTACCAGCCACTTAACCACTTCCTCAAAGATGATAAATTCCCTATCCCAAATAAACTCACTCTCTTCTCCCACTTAGCCAAGGCCAAATATTTTTCCAAGTTTAATCTAAAATTTGGATTTTGGCAATTGGGAATCCACCGTGAAGAAAGACCCAAAACGGGATTTTGCATCCCGATCATCACTTCCAATAAAAAGTCATGCCCTTCGGATTAAAAACTGCACCCTCCGTTCCAAAAATCCATGATAAAATATTCTAGCCCATCCTCCATACCTCTTTAGTTTACATTGATGACATCATGTAATTTAGTGATACATTGGAGAAACATGTCAACTTGTTTCTTCAATTTGATGCATTGGTAACATAGTGTAGGATCATGCTTTCAGCAAAAAAGATGGTTCTTGCTCAAAAAGAGATTGATTTTCTCGGAATGCACTTTATCCAAGGTGCATACAGTCCAGGATCACATGTATTTGTTAGGAACTGCTCAAATTTCCCAATACCAGCCTCACAACAAAGCAGATCCAACGGTTCTTGGGTGTAGCAAATTATGTAAGAGATTTCATTCCAAATATCTCTACATACATTGCTCCACTTACAAAGATGCTCAAGAAAAATGCTTCGTCATGGGGAAAAGAACAAGATGAAGCAGTCAAGAAAATAAAGGAGATATCTAAAAATGTCAAGTCCCTTTACATACCTTCAGAAGGTAAGAAGATACTGCAAACTGATGCCAGCAATGAATATTGGAGTGTTGTTCTATTTGAAGAACAAGATGGCTAGAGGGAAATATGCGAATATGCTAGCGGAAAGTTCAAAGATGCCGAGCAACATTATCACTCCACTTTCAAGAAAATTCTTGCAGTGAAGAATGGAATCAAGAAATTTAATTTTTTACTGATTCATACAGAATTTCTAATAGAAATGGATATGAAGGCCTTCCCAAAGATGATCCAGATAAATGCATAAATTATTCCTAATCCTCAAATGGCCCAGTGGTCCTCTCCATACGAGTTTCAAGTCAAGTAGCTAAAAGGAAAGGATAATATCCTCATAGATTTTCTATCTCGATCGGAAGAATTCTCAAAGAGATTTTCCCCAACAAAGATGAAGTCAAAACAAAAGCTAATCAGCCACATCTTCATGTTTTCAAATGTACCAGGAACAAGTTCATTAAAGCCAAGTGATCATCCACCGGAGTTGTTTAACCTCATGGATCCCTTTGATCCATAAATTATAATGGAAAGAAGAACTTATTATGAGCTTCAGGTTTTCCAGTAGCATGGAGGATCCATTCTCAAGCCATACAGTGTCAATTCAGAGTATCCATTCTGCCATATTTTCATAGCACAAGCCAAGGATTTTCCACATGAACTTTTATGGTTTTTCTGCTACTTATGCCATCAGTATTATATTTTCATGGAATTCAAGTGCAAC